ATGTTTATTCAGAGAAAGTACGTTTTTGTGTCTGATTTCGTAACTTAATTAATAGTTAGCACTAATTAATTAGCATATTTGAGGTCACCCCCAGGAACCATTAAGATTGACACTTAGTTCGTGAAAATCCGATCATTAGAACGAAAGTTATTCAGGGTGATATCTTTTTTTTTTTTGCGGACTGTACAACTGACTATTAAAATGCAGATTTAGAACTTCTTAAGTCGAAATAACAGGGTATAAAATATATAGGCATTTAAAAAACCACATGAAAATCAATGTCATTGTTGAAATATTTATCATAAAAATGGGGCAATCATCATGGGAAAAAGTCAATGAATGTACAATTCAAATTTTACTTGTCATAATATCGTATAAAAATAGCAGGGCTTTAAAAAACTGAGAAAATTCATAGGACTCTTATGCAAAACAAAATTAAGACTCTGTATGAATCTACAATGTAGTTGAAACAAATCGAGCATGATAATAAGTGATTATTCAGATCAGCATTAATAAATTTTATGTCAGTCTTTTCCTATCAGCATTAATTAACAATCAGCACTAATAAATTTTATTTCAGTCTTTTCCACTTTTTTTTTTATGGCAAGAAAAATTTTTGAAAAGCAACACATTTTTTTCTCAAAAAAAATTTTCAATCTTTTTTTGTTGATTAGAGCAAAAATTTCCTTAGAGCCACCCATATTACACCTGAACCTTGTGTAATGCTTGATCTAACATATTTTGCACCCATGGCAAATACATATTATATAACTTTAAAAATGTCAGCAAAGTAATTTTAAAGAAATGGTTAAAAAAATTCTGATATTCAATTAAAATATGCAATGTAATTATAAAATATTTGACTTTAAATAACAAAGTTTTCCACATTACCCTTCCAGTTCCAAGATATAGAAGTATGATTCTAATTATACAGTTACTACCAAAAGAAGCACATGTAGGAAAACTCAACTTACATTCCATTTAAGTGAAATGGTCGTTTTAGTCCTAGATAATAACTTAGGTGGTTGTGGAGCCTCTGGCTCACAGCTCAAGGTTTTGAAAGTAATACCTATAATAAAAAAAAATTTAATTTTTTAAAAATTTTTTTAAAAAATTAAGAGTAAATATGTTATTTTAAATAAATCTACTTACTTTCAGATAAATTTCCGAAAGTATTATGATAACAAGCTTGAATCCTAAAGGGGAAAAAATAAATAAATAATGAAACGAACATCACAACAAGAAACCACAAAAAGAAAATTAGTTGATGTACTTACTGAACAGAATAAGAAGTAGCTGGCTTTAATTCATTTAGTAAAAATTTAGTTTCTATCCCACTGAAAATAAATTCGAAATTATAAAAAAATTTTAAAATCCTGATATGTTTTCCTATTATATATAAAAACTACTTATCTAAATAATGAAGCAAAATTCAGAGAAATTTTCTAATTCATGATTGAAAAAAAATTAACTTTGTAATATAAATTAGTACTAATATCAATAGAATTCCAAATATTATAAATGTGTCAGTTCGTATAATAAAAGAGTAACACAAATATGTATGATTATTTAATACCCAAATTTAATTTACAGCAAATAAAATTTTAACTTAATTTTAATTACTTATTTTCATAACTTATAAAACAAAACTACCTGTATGAAATTTTTGGTTTGGCATCTTTACTTTTATCTAGTAGTAATAAATTATATGAAATTTCTGATAGCTGAATATCACAATCATTTTCTTCAGAATTTAAATTCAAATTTGCCCACTCTAACAAGGCACTTGTAGGGGTGATATCCGAAGCCTATAATAATAAACAAGTAGAATGTTAGAGCAAAAATAAAAATTCACAAAAATTATAAAAAAAAATTAAAAATTTCTTTTAGCTTACTGAAGGGACTTGAACTGCAGACAGTACTTTCATTAGAAGCAAATCTACAGAAAAAAAAAATTTAATGAAACATAGGAAGAAATAAAAATCATAATTTACTAGAAATGCCCAGTTAAAATTATAGATATGAAAAACAATGATAACTGAAATTCAATTTAATACATCACTATTTATGCACAATTACCAATTTAAAGAAAAATATGCAAGTGTATAAAATGGGTGCGTTTTTTTTCTTTCAATTTTTAAAAAATTTCAATTACCATAATAGGCATCAATAAATTACCACAAATAAAAACAATTTATTCAAGATGCTGAGAAGAAGCAATTTTCTTTTCACCTATTTCTTTTTTTTAAAAAATAAATGTGTTAATGTTTAATAAGATGTAATTCAGAAATTTCTAATAGGCGAAAGTTTCAATCATAAAAAAATTACACACAAACACATATCATCAACATGCTTAAACTTTTCTCTACTGTTTTGTTCTTTTTAGCATAGCCACATAGTTCCATAAGCTTAGTAGTGTGCAATAGCCTGTTACATATTTATAGATCCTATTAAACTTATGTACTTATACATTTTTTATACATTATTGTAAACTTATAATTTTTTTTTTTTTTTGGCATTTCTGTTTCTTTAATTATTACTCTTAATTCAGAAATACCTAAGTTTTTACCCTCTTTTCATAAGCAGAACTATAATTTCACATTTTTTTCTAAACTTAGTGATTTAGAAAATAATAAGTTCGTAGTAGTAAGTTAGTAGTACCTAGTAGTAAGTAGTTTTTATCAATCAGTATTAAAAATAGTTACATTCAGTTACTTTTTATAATTACGTGCTTTGTTGAGACAATTGTAACAAAATTTAAAGAAAGGAAAATAAAAATTTCAAAAATAATAATTCCAAGATTTCCAGGTCTCTAACTCTGGAAATTTTGATTTATAATTTTCTTTTACAGTTAATCAACTTAAGAAATTACAAAGTTTTATAATCTATGAAAATTTAATTTTATTATCCAAAGAAATTTATATTTTTCCTAAAACAGTCCGCTACATTAGTTTTACAACAAGCAAAATTTATTACTACACCAGTTAGAATAAATATGGAGGGTTCGATAATTCTGCACCAAAGTTACAGCAAGCAGAACAGATTAAATATACCAAATTTCAGTTTTTTGCATTATTTGTTACTGAGCTATACATTTACAACAAGCGAAATTTATTACTACACCAGTTAGAATAAATATGGAGGGTTCGATAATTCTGCACCAAAGTTACAGCAAGCAGAACAGATTAAATATACCAAATTTCAGTTTTTTGCATTATTTGTTACTGAGCTATACATTTTTGAAATTGTAAAGATTAAAAATTGTAAAACTGTAAAAATTTGTAAAGTAGCTGAAACTTGAGAATTTAATTTAGAGAGCCTTTAAAAACTCAAATTTTTACTTTTTCTGAAATAAAACGATTTTATTTTACTTTTTTTCAGCAATATTTGCACTTAATTTTAACATCCATGTCAGTCATATGAGACAATAAAGAGAAAAAAAATTTCACAGTCTAACACATTAACATTAAAAAAAATTCTAATTAAAAATAAATTCATAGAACTGCAGGATTAATGTTAATGTTAAATTATAAATTTTTTTAAAAATTTAATAATCCCATTAAAATAACATCGCAAAATTGAGAACCACAAAACTTACTTAAAAAAAAGTTAAACAATTTTTTTCAGAAAACTTCAATTTTTAGTTTTTTAAAAATGTTAAAAAATATGTTTGAAAAATAACCTAGTCATGTTATATATTTCATAAAATGACATCATAATCTGCATAAAATAATAGAAACTGATAAAATTATAAAAAATTTGACATAACGACACAAACTGATAAAATTTTCAAAAAATAAAGGATTATACCTTTTTCAGATGGAGTTTTGCTTGCAATATCATTTTGGGAAGTGTCTTCATAAGACTTAGCAGATGTTTCTGCAAAATAAAAAATGCTTTCATAATGAATTCAATGTTTTTCTTTAATAAATAACAAAATATATGGTATACTACAGTTAATTAAAAATATTTCTAACTTGCATTATGCAATGCAATGTTATACTGGTAACTACAGTTTAGCTCTTTAGTACAAGCTTGTCCCCATTGCTGCAAATTTTTCATTATAATAACCAATGTGTCAACAATGTAGTTTTATTGCTCATTAGAATGTTCAAGCAAACTGTTCATTTCAATATATGGACCAAAATCCCCCTATAAACAGGATCTAAAAATATCTGGAGGATATTATTGAAACAACTATTTCTTTTGATGTTACTGCTCAATTAACATGAAACTTTTTAACTTCTCTATAAATGAAGAAAGAGTGACAAGACTAAACATTCTTATCCTAGGTGGTTATGGTTAAACAGATAGCAAAATATTAGTAACTTTTTTAAAATAGAGAATTATATGTGCATATTGCATCATCTTGTGGAAGCTTTGCAAGACGTTCAATAAATTTTACGATCGCATTTTTCGTCTCTAAGAAAGTTCGATTAAATTGTTTTGTGGTTTATTTTTTAGTTAAAACATGTGGTATTCAAGGTCTTCTCGATTTCATTTTTGCTGAGACTTTATGGTTTTTTGGGCCATGGTTGCAGGAAATTCTGAAAGCTTTAATATAATACTTTCCTAGAACAGTTTTTTTAATTTAAAATTTCCCCATAAATAACATATTTTTTTCTCAAGCTACAATTAACGTTTTCAATAAATATTCTTAAAAAGCAATGTTTTTTAAGTTTATACATTTTTTTTGTAGATAATTTATAATAATTTTAGTAGATAATTTGATTTTACAGGATTCTTGAAAAAACTAGCTTATGTGTTAAAAATAGAAATCAAAATGTATTGAAATAAAATTAATTTATTATAATTTAAATTCAATGTACCACTCATAAACTTAAGGAATTGAAACTAATAAAAAAATTAACCGATAAAGTAATTTGTGGCATATTTAATAAAATTCTTGTGAATTTTCTCTTCTTTTTAAATTAGACAAAATTTCATTAGAGCAACTTTAATTTCTCCCGCAGCTTGTTCATGCAATCTGATATATTCTAACCCCTACCTGCTTTAAGTAAGGACAAAATATTTTTATCAGGAATATCAGTTCAACTACGAACTCTGTATATTATTTTTTTGGGAAAATGGCTGCTCAAAACTAGTTTAATACTATATGCTTACAGTACAAATTAAATTTCTGGAAAGAAGTGAATAGACGAATGTCTAAATAAAATAGGTTTAACTAATCTTTATCATGAAAGATTTGATTCCATCATCTGAATAATAGTATATGACCCCTAATTTTCTATAATAAAATTCTTGAAAAAAATTATTTAATTTTTTTTCTTCTTTATAATGTCAGTTAAGAGATTTAAACGCATATCTGCTAATATTGGAAAAGATAAATAACAGAGATTTTACTAGCGACATTTTTTAGGCTACAAGTAAAGTTTTGATACATCATGCAATATCATGCAAATCAAAAAAAAAAGAAATTCAAAACTGGAAACAATATAAGCACTTATAATTAGCAAAGTAAAAGATAGGTAAATAAATCTTAATCTAAAGCTATCTTAAATCATTATTTATAATTACTTAAACTATTAACATTCAACATACTGCAAAACTGGCAACACCACCCATCTGCTAAAGAATAAGATAAGTATTTTTGCCATCTTTTTAATTTAAATTTCTTCAGCTTAGGAGAAATTTGAGAATATAGAGATAAACAGGAGATAGTCGTAAAATATAGGAATCTTTGTTAAAAAACAGGAGACTTGGCAGGTATGTAAACGTTCTGAAACTACCAATTGGTTAGAATAGATACTTAAATCACTTATCTACAATTTGTAGATGATCCCTTAATTTAACATAAGATACTTTATAATAGTAAATTATGCTTTTATGATGGAAATTAGAAAGAAGAAAAAAACAGAATTCTTAGGATTCACATCTGAAATAAGTATATTTATTTAGCTATGAGTAAATATTTTAAATAATTTTGAGTATCCACGATATAGTGATCCTAAATTGTAATGACAGTTTTTGTTTGGACAGCAGGGCTCGTTATAATGAGCATAGTCTATAGTAACATACATTATATATATGAAGATGTTAAAATCTTTCCATTTAATTTGATATCTGGTTGATATAAAAAATAGGAGTATATATTTTTGAAATAAGCTGTGAAAAATTAATATACTGACCAAAATTACTACTACTAGAAGTAGTGCTTCCGTCTTTTTGGCGTGCTTCTAAACGTTTTTTTAATTTAAAAAACTGTCTCTGGGTCCTTTCATCTTTAAAGGAATTTAGATGAGATGAAGAATCAGCCATGCCTGTCAATAAACAAATTGCAGCTCAAAAACAGTGCAGGTGGATTTATAAAATAAGCTTTTTTTAATCAGGGAAAAAACAGTTTTTATTAGTGCATTTCTTTAAATTTAATGAAAATAAAAATCCACCTATGCAACTAACTTCCTATAATAATGCTTTAAATGAACAATTAATAGATAATTAATAGATAAATCAAAAAAAAGATAAAAATAGTTTTCTTCGATTAAGCACATTAGACGAGATGTGTAACAAAAATGTATAAAAATGGTGAATGCTAATATTATATACTGTATATATTATGCAAGTACAAATAATTTCACACCACCAAGCTTTAGCTTTTATGCCTAAAGTAAAAAAAATCACCATAACATAAAATAAAGATTCAATTCATTAATGTGTTAGTTTTAGCTAAAGAGTTAGTAGTTTCAACACAATCAATAAAACACAATCAATGAAAAATCAATTTCTTAATAAGAAAAGTGAAAACTATAACTAAGTTTTATTCGATTTTAATTTTTAAGTTATCCATTATTTAACTTTCTCCTGGAAAACAGTTGGTTTTTTATTCATGTATTACTTGAAGTTTCTTTTTTTTTTTTCTCTTGGAAATGATTTCAACTAAAAATACTTTAGTTCCTCTTTTTTGAAAGTAATTACTAATGATTATTGTACAATTATGAACAATCATTGGTTCTGTAAAAATATATTTACTATAACTAATAATTTGAAATAACAGAAATGACTTACAAATTTTGTAAATAATTTATGTATGCAAATTTGGATAAAATATTGAGATTTTAAAAAGATAACATAAATGAATAAAAGTATTATGCCATACCATATCTAACAAATGTTATGAGTTTATATTTTTTTTATCCCACTTATTATAAAAGGAGAAAGTAAAAAAAAATTAAAAAAATTATAATATTACTCATTTTACGCATATTTTAATATGTACTTCAATATAATTATATTATGTATTAATACAAGATAATTTACACACATTGTAAAGTTTAATGGACTAAGTAACAGATTTGTTGCTTAAAGTAACCTTTTAGAAAAAGTAACTTTCTTCGATTATACATAATTAAATTTTTTAATTCTCTAAGTATTATCACTTAGAACAATATTATACAAAAGTTTTATTACTCCTGTTTTTTCTCATTATAAAACATGGAAAAAATAGATTTTTATTGCATGAAAGCCACAATCTAAAAATTTCAGCAAATATTAATCTATTCGGTTTATTTTCATCAAACATTCTTTAAAAAAAAATCTATTTATATACATTAAACTTTACCTCTATAATGTATCCCTAGTCTTAATTCAGACTACATTATGAAAAAATGATAGTTAAAAATATTTACGTACAACATTTGAACCATTATCAAAATATATATCCTATGAAAAAAAGAAACATTTAACTTTTCAAATGCATTCCTTTTTCTAAAGAATCACTCTTTTGTTAAACATTCAGCAATCTACTATTTTTCCAAAAATAATGCAAAATTTATAAGGAAAGGAAAAAAATAGGGAATTATTTAAGGCCATACATTACGCAAAGCTATACATTTCCTACAATAAATCTATATATTTCAAATTTCCCATTACCAAGTTATTTATTTATACATTTATTGTAAAAAACTTTTTCAATATTTCTTTTTAGTAAGCTTATACAATCCAGTTGTTTGATAATTTAAATCTGGGATCACCAACTATATGCCTATTGCTATATTGCCTGAAAAATTAATTTCTACATAACATTTTTATTTGAAATTTTAAATTAAAACTTTTTGACTACAGGCTCTTTATAATACAATTATTATTTTATTCAAAGAGAATAACTACCTTTTTCAATAATTGAAAACTTCTAAACAGTACAAATAATAAGATATAATTTTTAACACTTTATTATTTTAAATAGATACCTGGAGAATGACCATTCGTTTGATGCAACTGCAGAGGTTCAAGTGATGCATGCATTCCCTGGGCCCTTAGCCCGGGCTGAATATGAGGAGGAAACTGAGGAGGGATAGAATATGAAGGATGATGATAGAGGTAAAATGGTGCAGTGCCACTTACAGGAGAAGTGATGGAGCCACTAGCAGAACCATTCTATCAAAAAAATAAACAATTCCCTTTAATTTTTTTAAAGACACATTTCAAGCACAGCTATACAATTCATACAGTAAAGCATTAAATGTTTAAAACATCACAGTAACAATATTTAATAACTAAACTTTTAACCACAAAATTTATATTTTTAATAACTTACTTGAGAGTTATTATAAAATAAACTAATTTTTTAGATCAGATAGGATGAAGGTATCATTTAAAATATATAAAAATTTCATCAATTAAATAATACACTCAAAACTAAACACACCTCATAAAAATTTTAATTATTAATAATAATACAAGAAACGGTAGCAAAATCTACTTAATACTACCATCTGACAGACCATTTTTAAAAAAATTTATTCCCAGTATATTGCAAAGCTATTATATTTTGGTAAACAACGAACATAAATTTCAAGCAAGTAACTTTGGAAGTTAACATAAAGGCTGTCGAAATGAAAATTTGACATGTGTGACATCAGTAATAGCAGTGCAACCCTTCATTACTATAAATTAAAATAAGAGTAGTATGCTATAAAATAATAGTATGATATAAATTAAGAGTAGTATGCTATAAATTAAGAGTAGTATGCTATAAATTAAAAGTAGTATGCTATAAATTAATAGTAGTATGCTATAAATTAAGAGTAGTATGGTTATGAATAACTGATTAATCACTTAGCATGGAAGCATTTAAAGTAAATGTAAAGTCATGCTATAATGGATACATTCAAAGCAGAACTCCTTGATGTACAGCATTAAGAGCAGAAGGTAAGCACAGAACATGAATTAATTTCTAAATGTTCATTGGTTGTGACAAATCTAATCTAGCGTATAAAATTGCTGTGATCAAAAATTGTAAAAGTTTCAGTGACGGACATGTATCAATATCAGATCTGCCAAATTGGAAACAAGCTAACTCTACAATCGCCCATGAATCCATTGCTATTGTTAATGATAAAATGGTAATAGAAAAATTACAAATTATGACAATATCTAAGCAAAGGAATAATGCAATTACTTTTAACCATCAAAAATCATACTGATTCTGTTCTGGGTTCATCCTTTCTCTTAAATTTCACATTAATTTAAAAGGCTTCAATATGAACTGGTTAATTAGTTATATGCAGTATATGGAACACCTTTCTAATATTAATTTTAAAAAAATTATAATTTTGATACTGCTCTTGCTACTATATTTTTATTCACTTGTCTACATTTTTTATTACTAAGTCCTTAAATGAACTGAAAAATTAAAAAATTGCAAAAATGAAACAATTGCAAAAATGAAACAATTCAAACATATATGGAATAATACTTTGAATTGAGTAACATAGCCACAATATTCGGATGGAAGGATAGAAAACATACAAATAGAAAAGTAAAAAATATAAACTTCTATAAAATATACCATAAAATATCAAAATAACCAGAAATCCTAAATTTGTGAATTATGATAATAAATATTTTTTTCAATAAGAGATAACTTTTTAAAGCAACTCACATTGCCATCTCTCTTATTATGGAGAAAGGTAAAGTTTTTAAGGGAGGTTATTAAATAAAATTTCTTTATAATTTTAGAAATTCTGCAAAAAAACAAATATTAATAACAAAATAAATTTATTAATAATTTTTAAAAATTGATAATTGAATTAAGAAAAACAATCAAGGCTTTAGGTGGATTTTGCAACCATTTATTAGTACTTTCATAAAAATCAGCCTAGCAAAAACAATACCTTCACTAAAAATAGAAAAATCAGTACTTTTACAAACCTCTTAATTATACAAGCAAAATCAACACATTCTCAGAAATAATAACAAAAATTTAGATTGGCAATTTTTTTTAAACAAATAGCCCATTTGCAGAGAAAAAATTCAATGCATCTGCATAAGCTAATGTTTTTTTGTTTTTTTTATATATAATCTTTACTTTCACATTTACACATTTATCATTTGTTAAAATTTCACAAAATTAAATGATGCTAAAATGTTTTACAAAAATGGGTATTAAGTTCAAAATCCTGGATTAGCCACAGGTAATATTTGTTTAAAAAAAAAACTTTTTGCAATACACTATCTTTAAGTGAATATGTTTAAAATAAGCACCAGAAAAATTATTTACATAAACTCTTTCAAAATTAAGACAAATTATTCCTTCTTCCAAAATTTTAGTATATTTATAAAAGAATCACTAAATTAAAATTATTTACATCAATGATTTAAATAAATTACTTTAATTCATTTAAATCTCGCAATTAAAAGAAATATTTTGCACTATAAATAAAACAGTAACTATAAATCTATGTAATAACTACATGCAGCAAAACATGTAATATGGCACATTAACATATTTTGCCATTTTTAGTTAATAAGACTATATTATCAACTTACTTTCCCAATTTGATTAGAATTATTTAAAGAACGCAAAGTAATTAAAAAGCGTTCGAGATTTAATGTCAAAATTTTATATTTCTTTCCTTGAAGCATATAAAAATAATTTATAACCATGATTTCTAAAATGAAAGTTCAAAATTTAAGGGAGGAAATGCATACCAAGCAAAATAACATGTTATGTTATATAATAATACTTATTGTTAAATGACAATTCTGAAAATTAGCACAGTAAAGCTAATTTTTGGGAATATACAGAATTTTAAGCAAAAACAACTGTGTATGAAATCATGAATGACAATGAAAAAGTTAAAATGGCTCACTTTGAGATATAAAAAAAATTCTTTTAAAATTAAAAAAATTTATTGCTTAAAAATGCTACATTTAGCAAAATATTTTTTTTTCAAGTAATTCAGAAAGAGGTTGAGAAAATGTAACACATTAAATGGAAATTCATTTGATATTAATTTATATTCTGCTAGATAACATAATAACTTTTATACTGCATAGTAGTACTAACTAACACTATTTTAAATCAGTGTAAAAAAAATATTCATACGAAATATTATAAAGATTTTTATTAGCACCAACAGCATATTCATTTGTAATAAGTCTTGTCCTGAATGATAAACAAATTACCAGCATCAATACCCTGGTAAATTTAATTTTATATAAAAATTTTGCTATAAGCAAATACTTTATAATAATGTTTCGAATTCATAAATATATATATATATATATATATATATATATATATTTCCCTTTTTACACATTAAATTAATGTTCTTAAAAATTTGTTACAACTGCTTGCACTTAAAAATTGTTTGTTATAATTCCTACACTTCAAAATAAAATAAAAAACTTTATCCCGTATAATGATAACGGAATATTAAAATAAAAAATTAACTTTTCCCAATTTAAAACATAAACCTTTTGACGTAGACAACGATTTTACAGGATTTACAATACTTTTCCAGTTTTACTACATCACTATTAAATGTAGGGATACATCGTCAAACGAACAAAAGAGAAGATAAAACGTTGTAAATAATTAAAACCAACATATGTAACTTCTCAATTTCGGGAAATGAATCTGACGAAAAAGCTTGTTTTCGAATCACAAAAATAAATAAATAAAAGAATACCAATCCTTAATTAGAGTAAACACAGGCTTCTAGATATCTTGTTTAATAGATTACGATATTATAAAATAAGGAACTTATACCAAGTTAATAAGTCACACGTCTTCTAATTTTATAAACTTTGCTGGTTAATACGATTCGCAGCAGATGCATGGAATGTAAACACACAGAAAAGGAAACGTCAACAAATTCGAATTTACGTGTTTTATTTATCAAAAAGACAGCTGTCTTTCACTCAGCTTTCGCTATCGGATCGTCTTCTAAAAAGAAAGAGGAGGTGAGTTGTTTATCCCTTCTCACAATAAATTTTTTTTTTTTCACCACTCGTAGCCGGCTGCCCAGAGATATGATTTCCAACACCGACGCAGATCGTAGAGGGCGTGCGCTACAATGAATTTAAGCTTAAAATTCCAATGTATTAATTCAAATTATTTTAAGCTAAAATATAGATAATTTAATTTCTAAAATAGATAGTTTTAATTCTTAACACAGATAATTTTAAATTCTAACACAAATTATTCGACTTTTAAATAAAATTTTAGATTTTAATGTCTTTTATTTAATTTTAACTGTTTGGTTTCATTTTAATGGTTTAACAATTTTAAGTTTTAAAAATATGCATATTTACATGAAATGAGGTTTTAAAGGTTAATATTTGAAGGGTTAAATATACCATTTATAAAAATATGATAGTAAGTACACAAAAAAATATAAAAAATTTAGATATTTTCGAAAACCGAAATTCATGGATGGTTAGAATTAACTTGGGCATCTTGAATAACTTGGAATTAACTTGGGCATCTTGAATAACTTGGAATTTTTTGGGCATCTTGAATTTCTATTGGAAGTTCGTATTTCGTGCTGCGGAGGTCCAGGCCCCTTTGCATGAATTCCTTTACAATTTCAAAAAGTATGATGAGCGAGAAAAAAAGAATAAGCAACAGATTCAATTAACATATTCGGTAGAGTAATAAGCAGAAAGCTAATGTTACTCTTTAAGCTCGTCTTTTCTATGATGCAGATCTAGCCTTAACATTCAGTTAATGCAAGTAATTTTTGATTAGGTGCATCTTTGAATAAAAGTCCCTCAAATCAGTTTCAAATCTTTAAGATTTTTCTTCAAAAAGTTAACACCGGCCTAAACCAAATGTAGTGCTTTTGACAAGTTGCTTCCAGCATATTCCGCAATTAAACGTTTTAAGAATATGGTCGATGAACGAGCACTGACTGTAAACTGACTATAAACTTTTTATTATTCGCTTTTAACCGAATGTTAGATGAAACTAGTCTCCGCAAGTTATGTAATTTAAATTTAATTTCACAATTCACTGATGTATGAGAAATGATGGTCGTCCTATGCTGTGTAGATCTGCAACCTAAGAGAGATGAGCACTAAGCACTTACTAAGTAAATATCCCAAGTGCCAGTTCTAGGTTTTGACGAAAGTGGTGCCATTGGAAAGGG